ATAATGTTGATCCGGATGATGGTAGAAGCACAGCTGGTTACATCTTCTACTTAGAAGGAAGCCCTATATCTTGGTGTTCGCATAAACAAGACACGGTGGCGATGTCGTCTTGTGAAGCAGAATTCATGGCCGGAACAGAGGCGGCAAGACAAGCGATATGGCTCCGGGACTTGCTTAGTGAGATAACTGGATCACTATCCGAGAAGGTTGTTGTACTACTTGACAACAAATCTGCAATAGCTCTTACGAAGAATCCGGTGTTTCATGGTCGGTCCAAACACATTCATAGAAGATATCATTTCATAAGAGAGTGTGTTGAGAATGGACAAATTCAAGTTGAGTATGTTCCAGGGGAGAAACAAAAGGCTGATATTTTGACAAAGGCGCTTGGACGAGTCAAGTTCAAGGAGATGAGAAGTTATATTGGTGTTCATGACTTGGAGGAGGATGGCTTCAAGCTTAAGGGGGAGAATGTTGGTTTAAGCTTGAACCACAAGCAAACCGAGTAATGGTTTAGGAGATAAGGACAAACATATTTAGGAGCAATCTAGATATGTAATATTACCTATTTTGATTAGGAATTGTCCTAGGGTTTTCTCATTATATAAGGAGATGTCAATGTGTGGCATAACTTGTGAGATTTGAGAAACAAGAGAGCTTTAGTTTTTGAGGGATTTTTCTAAAGCTAATAAAGAGAGTAATTCTTTTACTTGTGTTCTTAAGATTTTGTGTTTCTTGTGTTCTAAGAAACTAGATGCCTTGCTGTTTTGTCAAAGTGTTTTTTGATGAATCTAGGATCTTTGAATAAAGCTTGATGGTACCATCCTTTGCAAGTAGATCGTAATCGTCTCAGGGATGTCACGGGGGCCCTATATAGTATCTCTTCTATCAAATCTTGTGGCAGTTGGGATATCATCCTTGTTTCTCTCGTGATCAATTAGGGTTTCAAGTAAACTACTGTAATAAAAGCTCATATATATATATATGAAAAAATAAGTTGAAGAATATTAACTTATACACATTCTTAACATATCATTATTATTACTTTTTTTTGGGTCAACTTACACTAAAATGTACTTATCTTATATTACGATCTTCCAAAATCAGGTAATGCTAAAATCTGGTCGACTTAAACTTTTAAGGATTTGACTTTCGTATTTCTGAAGAAGATATACCTTTTAAATCATGTTTAACATTTTTTTATAATTTCCCATAATTTCCCTTACTGCTATCAATAAGTTTGTTTTTTTCCTTCTCTTTTTAAAACTTATAGTTTATTGCATAATTTGTTTTATACATTTAGAAAATCAAGGATTTTTTATATATAAAAAACATAGATGGTTCAAGAAAAACGAACACATGTAAAAAAAATGTAACAAAGAAACAAGGATTTGTCTAAAACTAATCAACACGTGTATACCGTTCGATATATACGACCGCAAGATGGATTGCTTCGTTGTTACGGCACAGCCTCATCTCTGATATTCCTAAATATTTAAAACCTGATGAGATTGACACTTAACTAAATCTTTGTATTTTTATAACCGTTAGAGATATTTGTTTTTTCTTCTTCTTCTATTTAAATCTGAATAAATGGAAAATAACCGAGAAAGAGCCGAAAAAATAAAACCCTAGTCATATCCTCTTCATCTTCTTCGATCTCTCTCTCTATCTCTCGCTCTCTCTTTTACGTTTTCTTCATCTTCTTCGATCTCTCTCTATCTCTCGATCTCTCTCTATCTCTCGATCTCTCTCTATCTCTCCATCTCTCTTTTACGTTCTGTTCATATTCTTCGATCCCTCTTTTACATTCTCTCCTAGGTGTATGGAAACAACACGAGGCTCGCCGATCTTCTTCGATCTCTCTCTCTCTCTTTTACGTTCTCTTCATCTTCTTCAGTGTCTATCTTATAAGTATGGAAGCAACACGATGCTCGCCGATCCAATCAATCCAGTGTATGTTCTTTAATTTCTTCCATCGAAGTCAGTGTTTGAGTTTTCGATTTTATTGAATTGGTTTCGATTTCTCGTTGATTGTATAAGAACAACTGTTTAACTAGCTAGGGTTTTGATTCTCTAATCTAAGAACCAAAATTAGAGTTTAATATTAAAAATTTAAATTAGGGTTTCGAAACGAATTGGTAGATCTCCTAATTGACGTAGCTTAGGTAGTTCCTTACCTCTTGACTTGCTTACAAGAGTTCTTTAATAATTCGACGTATGTAAATTTATATTCTTCTATATATATTTTTTTATTACTTTACATTCAGTTTTGTGTTGCTATTGCTTCTAAGCTTAATATATTCTTCTTTGTTTTTTTGCCGTATAAAAAGTTCATATGTTTTGTAGACATTATTAAGACTTACATCACATATTATTTTGCAGGCAGTTGTTCTCAGGTTTCCAAAGATCATCAGGTTATTTTCAGGTTAGACCCTTAGGATTTATCTTTTTCGAAGTCTTATAACTCTGTTTCTAATGTTTATGCTCATATATATTGCTTAGTTTAACGCTTTTTGAACTTGCTATATTCATAGTTTAATTGGTCAAAAGTTTCATGGAAGATTGAGTTGGTGAGTGTCTTTAGGTGACGAGCTAATTAAAATGGTATAACTCATGATCCTCTGTTGATATATTTTTATTCCTATTAAATTGTCAGTTTTAATATCTGGTAGGATTTTGATTTCTTTATACAAAGATTAAAAAAACTGCGTTTTTCTACTATTTGTGACATTCAAGTTCGTTTAGAAAACCATTCACTTACTTGTCGTATGAGTGTTACAATGTTTTGTGTTCTTTTATTTAAATGTAGCAGTGTAGGTAACTATGTGACAGCGATACGTTGTTCTGGATGATCGTATAGTTGTGTGTGCTTACTATATCTGCTGTTCTTTGGTGTTCTGATCTTGTGTGGAATGATGATTGATTCAATGAGTGTCTTTTGTATTTGTTCATGCATACATAAATCTTAAAGAAACTTGTGTCTGAGATATGTCAGTTTTGTTGTGATGCAACCCATTTATGTTATGAAAGCAGAGGAAGTTTTGTGCAGCAATAGAATTTATGAATAGTTCTCACTGTGATTCTTGATTTCATTTACGAATTTAGGTTTCCTTCTATCATCTTGTTGTTAGTTACTTACTCATTTGATCCTTCTCTTTTTGATATGGTCTTATGCGCTTGTTTGTTGAGATTTTTCAGTGAAAAATTGATCAGTCTTGTTTCCTATGATTGGTGATGAATGATGTTAATACCATTTCTTACTGTTGAAGTTGAGTAGCACAACAGTTCTATTTCAGTTTATATTCTGGTTCATGATCTCTGCAAATTTAAAAAGCATCTCATCATAGATGTGGAAACGTGTCAACCCACTCAATGAAACTACTACTCGTTGTATCTCATGGACTCTTTCTCGAACCCAATTATTGGGAACTGCTTAGGATATTCTATTACAATCTCTGATTGTAATTTCTCATTTGAGTGCATTGTTGCTACAAAGTCTTTCAACTTTATTCATACAATACATTATAGATTTTTAGATCAACACCTATTGCGAAAATTAACAAATATTGCGAAAATTAGTCAGCACCTTCCTAAAGAATATTATAGCCCCTCTGGGACAGTGAAGCGATTTGTGAGTGGTAGTAGTAACATGTCAGCCAAGAAATAAGTTTTGCGCAATCCTAGAGATAAGTTTAATGATGTTTTACAGCCACAAAAAAAATAAAAATAAAAAACATAAAATTCTAGGTTTTGGTATTTATTTTCTTATATAATTTACTCAGATGACATGCCTTTTCTGTTTTTGGTGTTATTTTTGGTGTTATTACCTTAGAAGATGACATGCCAAAAATGGTTGTGAAAAGTCTCTTTTGCACCAAAAATGATTGGTGTGATAACAGGACAAGTAATTAAGAAGAACCCCAAGCAACCTGACTTTAATCACAAATATACACGTGAAGCTCTCTGGCATGACTTTATATATATCAGATTGGATTACTAGACGACTTGACTTGTTAGACCAGAGAAAGTGAAGCTGAAACTATTATTATCCTAAGGTCTATAATCATCGATTGTAAATCTATTTATTTTAAAAAAAAAATAAATGAAAATTTTACATTCTTAGCAAAATAAAATTAAAAACTGAAACTAAAACAAGGAAAAAAACACTCTATGGCTGTTTTCCTGATTCCTGAGTGTGAGACATAACCAAAACTTATAATCAATCTTTCGTTCAATGTAAAGATTTCAAATTCGATTAATCGTACCATTCATATATGTTGTACGTTTAGAATTAAAGTACTAAAATGTGTAAGAAATAGTTTGTGTAATTATCTCCAGAATATTTGTGTATATGATGATCAGAAGTAAATAAAATTTGGTTATTATCGGAACATTCCTTTGAGAGATAAAACGTAACGTATGGGTTCGTGATATTATGAGAACACAAGCATCAACGAGACTTTATGATATTCGTTGTTAATACAGACAAGTATAAACGTACAGTTTTGAGAACAAAACTCTTCAATTTGGCCAAGCTAAGTTTTGTTTTAATCTGGCTTGGCTCATATAAAGAATCTAATGTTCAAACTTTTGAAAAGTTAATATTGACGTATGTTTTAGGTTAGAATTGGACAGATGACAACTTGGTAAGCATTTTAAGGATAAGCTACACGGCACTTTGATTTTTATACTTGTCCTCACTAAACTCCAATTTTAATTTACTCACTGAGAATGATTTTTTGATCTTTGCTTCTAATTTCTTACAACATGATTTTTTTTTTGGGGCAAGAGAGTTTATGATCTATTAAGTCAAGTCTATTGGATTTGGAAAGACTCACAATATTCTTTGTGGGGAAGAAATTTCATGGAAAAGACTTCAAAATGTTAAGTCAATGGAGCTTCATGTGTTTGATTTTATATATATATGTAAGTGACCTGCAACACTAGTTCACCATCACTACTTCAGATTACTCTTTAATTCAAAAATATGAAAGCTTTCTTATGTAATCAGAAAATGAGCTTCCTTCTTCGTTCCATCTCTTTCCTTTTTTTCGTTTCATGTTTGCTAAACAGATTTGTTTCTTCTACACAACACTTGTGTCATCTTGACGAAAGGGATGCTCTTCTAGAGTTTAAGACTGGGTTTTTGATCAAGAAGCCTCTTTTGGACGTTGATTCAGGTATAAAGACAGAATCTTGGGTGATAAAAAGTGATTGTTGTTCTTGGGATGGCATCACGTGTGCTGCTAAGTCGGGCAGAGTCATCGGACTAGACCTTAGTTTCAACTACCTCTACGGCAAGCTCGAATCCAACAGTAGTCTGTTTAAACTGCTTCATCTCCGTGATTTGAACCTTACTGGCAATAATTTCAACGGTTCGTCAATCCCAGCTCAGTTTGATAAGCTCATGAAGCTAGAAACACTTGACCTCTCTGATTCTTCACTTTCAGGCCAAATTCCAGTCAACCTTCTTCAGCTAACCAAGTTGGTGTCTCTCCATCTTTCTTCTAGTTTTTACCCTGATTCTTCTTCTTCTTTATCTATTGATGAATCTTTTCTTCATCTACTTGCTCAAAATTTGAGGAGTCTTAGAGAACTCGATATGAGCAATGTAAACATTTCTTCAAAAATCCCCCATGAGTTTTCAAAAATGCGATCTCTAAGGTCACTAGATCTTAGCTACTGCAACCTCTGTGGAAAATTTCCAAGTAGTGTTCTTCTGATACCCAGCCTACAGTCCATTAGATTAATCAACAATCCAAATCTGAGAGGCAATCTTCCCTCTTTTCGTGAGAATAATTCTTTGCTACATCTGACCATTAAACTAACAGCTTTTTCTGGTCCCATACCCGACTCCATTAGCAGCCTCAAACATTTGATTTCTTTGACTCTTTCCTTTTCTCATTTCACAGGGAAGATTCCATTTTCACTTGGGAACCTTTCTCATCTCTCTATCCTTAATCTTGGTTGGAATTTTAATCTTGTTGGTGAAATTCCATCTTCAATTGGCAATTTAAAACAGCTGACCATTTTTTATGTTAGTGGTAACACGCTCAGTGGAAACTTGCCAGCTTCAATACTCAATTTTACCCAACTACGTGAACTCTGGCTCTCTCCAAATCAGTTCACTGGTTCTCTTCCACCAATCATTAGCCAATTCTCCAAATTAGAGAGTTTTGCGGCTGATGCCAGTTCTTTTAACGGAGCCATTCTTTCATCCCTAGTCAAGATTCCCTCTTTGACCAAAATCTTTTTGCGTTATAACCAATTCAACGACTTTGCTGGGATTTCAAATATCTCTCTCTTACCTAATTTACAAACAATTTCTATTGGGAGTAGAAATTACAACAAAGTCTATGATTCAGAAGTTAACTTAAATGTCTTCTTGCCTCTCAAGAAGCTAGACTGGTTATCTATATATGGCATCCCTCTTTCAACAGCAAACATCACTCTTGATTCGGATTTCCCATCAAGTTTGGAATATTTAGTTTTGAGTGGCTGCAACATCACTAAGTTCCCTGAGTTCGTAAGATACGAAAGAAATCTACAAAAACTAGATCTTTCCAACAACAAAATCAAAGGTCAAGTACCAGACTGGTTGTGGAGACTGCCAAAATTGGAGCATGTGAGTCTCTCTAAGAACTCTCTCAGCGGTTTCAATGGATCCTTAAAAGTTTATCTTGAGAGTCAAAACAGTTTTGTTGATCTAAGCTCAAATGCTTTCCAAGGACCACTCTTCATCCCATCCTCTAAGCATCTCCAATATTTTTCGGGTTCTAAGAATAACTTCACTGGAGAGATTCCTCAATCAATATGTGGAGTAAACTCTCTAGAGGGCCTAGATCTATCAAACAACAACCTCCATGGTTCAATTCCCTGGTGTTTAGAGACTCTGGTGATGACTTCTCTTGCATATCTAAATCTCCGTAACAACAGACTTAGCGGAATTCTTCCTGAAATATTTCATCACGCCAAGAGTTTAATGTCACTTGACGTCAGTCACAACCGATTAGAGGGAAAAATACCAGCTTCTCTTGTTGGTTGCTCTGCTTTGGAAGTTTTGAACGTGGGAAGCAACACAATCAAAGACATGTTTCCCTTCCACTTGAATTCTCTGCAGAAACTTCAAGTCCTTGTCCTACACTCTAACAGGTTTCATGGTACATTACGTAATGCTGATGGGGTTTGGTTTGGATTTCCTCATCTGAAAATCATTGATGTATCACACAATGACTTCTCCGGTACATTGCCATCAGATTACTTTTTGAATTGGACTGCGATGTACTCCAAGAGAGATAATAATATGGAACTGGAGTACATTTGGGGTCCTTCAGAAGCAGGCTACTACTCACTTGTGTTGATGAATAAAGGAGTGTCAATGGAGATGGAACGTATCCTTACAACCTACACAGCCATTGATTTTTCAGGAAATCAACTCCATGGACCAATTCCTGATTCCATTGGTCTCCTTAAGGAACTTCATATTCTCAACATGTCAAGCAATGCTTTCACGGGGCACATCCCATCTACTTTGACAAATTTGACGAATCTGGAGTCACTCGACCTATCCCAAAACAAGATTTCTGGTGAGATTCCTCCTGAACTTGGGACCCTCTCATCTCTAGAAGTGATAAATGTTTCACATAATCAGCTTGTAGGTTCCATACCACAAGGCACACAGTTTCAACGACAAAAATGCTCCTCCTACGAAGGAAACCTGGGGCTTAATGCTCTTTCCCTTAAAGATGTTTGTGGAGATATCAAAGCGCCAACACAATCGGAACTGGTGGAGACAAAAGAAGAAGAAGAGGAAGAAGCATTGAGTTGGATGGCAGCAGGTTTAGGCTTTGCACCTGGAGTTGTATTTGGACTAGTGATGGGACACATAGTGGTTTTGTACAAACATGAGTGGTTCATGAAAGTTTTTGGCAGAAGGAAGCAACGAACCATTAGAGCCCGTTAACGCATTGTTGTTCTCGACGAAGTTTGTGTATCTAATAACATCATAAATAATTTGTTGTATTTTATGAAGAAAAAGCGACCGTGTGTGATGATCAATTTTTATGTATTATATGTGATGTATCAGTTTTTATGCATTATATAATGAATCAAGTTCTATGAATTCGAAACAATTGAATTTCAGAATTTACTAATTAATCTATAGTTTAACGTACATATACTGTATGTTGATGAAACCTTAATGTCTGCTGTTAAAAAAAGGATGTTATTATTATTACACATATCAAAAGATAAGTCACACCACTCGTAACGACACTCAGCTCATTTTATTGATTACTCTTATAAGTAAAACCAGTAAGCTCCAAATTAGTTTTCAATGCAACGGATCAACGACTTGGCCTATGAACAGAACCACTCCTGTTATGTTCTCAGTCACCACCAACAGAAACGGATGATCCGCCACAAAATCTATCTCATCTTCCTCCATAAGCAAACCTCTTAGTTTTATAACTCCAGCTGATGCGGCTGCAGCTTCTGTTCCTTCTTCGTTCACTTCGATACACGCTTTATGGAAAATGTTCGATACAGATAGATTCTTCCCCATTTCTGGAGATTCAAGCATCTCAGTTAAACCGTCTTCGCCACTGAATGGTGAAGTCAGTCCCAATCCTTTCAAAACATCTGAAGCGTCGAACCCGAAAGAGAATTTAAACTTTGGAATCTTGAATTCGCGGACTTTCACTTGTCTACGTGGAATGTGGCTGTCTAAGAACCCAGGAGTAGAAACTATTTTGTCCAGTAGATCAGACAATCCGTTGTTTGCATCGGGAAGATAAAAGTACATGGAGAATTGTCGTTTATCTTGTCCTTGTAAGTAAGGAAGCCCCAATACTTTGAACCCATCATAAGTGCTTACATACTGTTTCTTCTTGCTGGTCATGAACGGTACAGTCACTTTATTACCATCAAGCAGGTGAAAGTCGCCTTCTTTCGTTAACGACTCGTCGAATTTCTCGTTCCATGTTCCCTTGAAGTACAATGCATTTGCAAAGATCAATTTGGTCATACTATCAGCTGATCCTTCTGGAAGAACCTCAGTGATGAGACCATTTGTCTCCTTTTCAGCCCATGAATTCACCTCAGCAATCACTTCCACAGCCTTCATAGCAAAAATTATCAACACACAAACATTATCAATCAGTAAAATTCAATCACAAGACTTCAAAACAAAATCATCAACATAAACCCTATCACTACATCAAACTACGAACCACTAAAATTCCACACAAACAAAGAAGCATAAGAATCAATGATCAAATACAGATCCTCACAGTAAAACCTAAGAAACAAATCACCAACATAAACCATATCAATAAATAAAATCACAAGACACCTCAATTTTCACACAAACCAAAGATGCATAAGTATCGACTGATCATATATACAGATCCTCAGTGAAATTAAAAAAACAACAAATCCACAGAATCAGAACAGAGTAGCCGTCAAGATAAACCCTTATCAGTAAATCAAATCACAACCAATTCAAATTCACACAAACCTCAGGATAATATCAAGAAATAACAAATCCACATTTTGACCTTTGATTGTGTCTACTAAAGTCCCTAGCAATCAAATTCCAATCCAGAAATCGAATTCGAGAGCAAAATATTGAAGAATCAAATCACTAGCCACCAAATTTCACATAAACCAACGATGCATAACAAAGCAATGTTCATATACAGATCCTCAAGTGTAAGATTCAGATACAACAAATCCATATTTTACCAATGATTATGTCTACTAAACTTCAGAACAAGTTCATATGTATCCGATGAACTAAGCCTCACAATACTTTAAAACCCTAAATCACAGAACCAGAACGAACCATGATTCGAAATCAAATCGGAGAAACTCACCTTCAATTGAAAATCAGCTTGATTCGAAGCAGCTCTATAAGAATCCTCTAGAAGCTTCTTAAAAGATGGCTTAAACGATAGAGACTTATCGATCCAAGCGCCATTAGCAACCGAGAGCTTAGGACCACCGTCACCACTACCGTCAGCGAGAACAGCAGAGACGATATCGGAAGAAAACGCATTAAGCTGATCAACGGAAGAGAATTTGAGAAACGAGAGGATCTGATCTTTGGTAGCGCCGGTGGATCCAGCGGCGATTATACTGAGTACGACGTTGATTGAAGCCGGAGAGAAGATGACGTTGGAGTTTTTAGAGACGGTGGTGATTACTTGTTTTGCGAAGGTCACTGAGACTTGGTTTTGCATCGAGATTGATTCACGCACGTCCATTTTCGCCGGAGGTGGTGGTGGTGATGACTGGTTGATGAGTTTGCTGTGTGTATAGGAGACGGTTCAGATATTTATTTTAGAAAGAAAAATAACATTTTGGTATTTATAAAAATTTAAATAAAAGATTATAGAATTACATGTCGGTCAATATTTTTTATTTCTTTGACACGACATTATATGTCGGTCAATGGTATTATATAGATTAGAGCTATATGTAATTTATTACATAAGCATATATATATGCGGTTATATAGTGAGAAAGATACATCAAAGAAGTGAACTACTGTAATTCAATAAAATTTTCTAAATAGTAATCATATTCTATTATAGTTATATTTATTGTATTGACTCTAAAAATTAAATTTTAAAAAGTAAATTTTGGAATATTCTTCATTAAATTAACAAAAAATAAAATTTGAAAAGTATTGTGGCAGCTGCCAAAGAAAAAGTAAATAAAAGGAGTATGCAGGGCTAATCTACCAATTTCACATATCATAATAAAAGAGAAGAAATTAGGATTAATATATTGAAATCAGGGTTTTTGTTAGACCAAGTGTATCAAAACCAAATTGAAAATACTACCACAGCACTAAGAGCAGCTTGTTAAATAAAACGGACTATCAACATTTCAATATTCACAAACAAATGCAAAATTTGTTATAGAAATAAAGTAAAGTATTGATGTAAAGTACGTTGTGAAATAAACTATTGTGTGAAATAAAGTATTGATGTGAAATATGGTGTGAAGTAAAATATTAATTTGTGTATAAATATGTGTGAAAAAATATGCTATTATATAGTAAAAAAAAAACCATTGAGAAAAATGTTTTCTAATAGTGGTTTTTGTTGGACCGACATGGATAAAAACACTGTAAAATTGTAGAATGGATTAGCAAATATGATTTGGACTCTTTAAACAAAATAAAACACTTCAGCGTAATCTCAACCAATTTGTGAAATCATTTATAATGCCGATTAAAAGAAAACAAATCGATTGATCATTGCGACTACGACTGAATTTTTTTATCCGTAGGAAAAAATAGCGATGCGATTTTTTAAATAGTGACCAGTCTCTTGTGATTATCAAACGACATGCCCCATATAATATGTGAAGGAGAATACACTCACCGTATACGTCGAAGCGCCAAGCGAAGAAGTTGAAACATCGGCTAATGTAAAAAGACACAGTTGACAAATTGTTTTCCAAATGATGTGTAAGAAGACTACGATGAACTTGAACTTATGTGAAATAAAAAGTATGAATCTGTGCTTTGCTTATCAATGACTTTGTTATGTTTACCTCTCGCTGCAAGCAAGCCACGATTAAAAAACTTGTTCGACCAAACAATACCTTTATAAATTTTTAATTCTAAGGTCTTGTGATAACAAAAACTAAATAAAGACCAAACTAAAAAATAATCTGTGAATCGTCATTTTTATATACTTGATATGAACTATAATATAAGATTTTTTTCTGAAAGTGCTATGTCTTTTTAGCATTTGATATAATATATGATTAACATGCTCAAAGTTAAAACTATCACAATGCTGAAAGTCCAAAACTGGTTCATGCAATGATGCCTAACAACTCCTTTCACAAATTTTCTTGATAAATACTCCTTTTTATAGAACCAGAACTCCAGAAGTAATATACATACATACAAGGACGAGTAAATACAATTCATCATTACATTGTGGTTTGAGTTTCTACCTTCTGCAAGATTATCAAACGTATAAATAAAGAGAGAAATAAGTAAAAACAAAAGGGCTTTTGACAAAGTTACTTACAAAAGTGTTGAGGCTACCATTTAACATCGAGTGTTAAAGCTTCTTGAGGAACAAGTAATGATGGAAACTTAGTGAATGACATGTTAGACATCATACTGCTCCATGCTTCTGTATCCACTTCTATGAAAGGCACTACTTTTCTCATCCCTGCTGCTTTTAACTTATCCCTTTCGACTTTCGCCGTTACTTCAAACCAAACCCGTTCTATCTTCGGTTTTGTTCTCCACTCTATTTTTTTACTTGTTACACTCTCGTTCTTCCCAATACTTCTCTCGATCTCTAACTGAAACCGTACCATGCCTGACGGCTTTAGTTTCGCTGTCACAGAGGTTACTGTTTGTCGGGTTCCATTCCCTAAAGAGCTCAGAACTTTTTCCAACTTGTTAATCTTCAAGCCAAGAAGATCAGTTGGGAAACCATGCTGCCTGTATGTGTGAGCTTTATAATAACATTTTTCTGCGTGTAAATGGATTGCCTCATTGGATAAGTAAGAAGTCTTGATTTGCGAATCTGCATTTCGAGTCCTAAATGCAACCAATGAAGCTGATCCTATGATTTGTATAGGAGGCAATGGTGCACACACAGAACTCCGAAATAGCCGTAAACAATTTCCTTCTTTAATATTTACAGGATCGACAGTAGCAGCGTATCTTCGATGGGATGAGTGGAAAAGAGAGACTGCTTGAGCTCCCCTTATTTCTACTGAGATGCCCTCACTGACAAGAACCCGTTTTAAACCGCTATGTGAAATGTTCATCTGAAAACAAATCATTACCTCAAAATCATCAGTGACAACAAGCTACTTCCACACAACAAAAAAGGAAAAATCTCTAAACATGGAAAGGAACTTGCAGACTTAAGATCAAAGCAGAGGGTTATAGTAACAGTGTAGGTTTATTCTAAGCTTTCTGTACTTCTTGCACTTAAAGGAGAAACACAATAACAGATTTTAATGTAAAATCTAATGGAGAAAGAACATGCAACTGCTCGAGACCGGGAAGGAAATACGCCAGAAATTCACTTAACAAGACCTATGTGTTTAATTCCTCAGATAGTCCGAGCAATGAATAGATCTTAAACATCAATCATAGCAAATCTTTTGATAAGCTACTGCCGCAATTTACTTAAAACCATGGAAAGAAACTTTTGGACTTAAGAACAAAGCAGTGATTTTAGGTTTAATAACATTTTTTCTTGACAACTACAGACAGTATTTGAGTTTTAGGTTTAAAGTTTAAACACATAACTACCAGTACCAATTCCTCCTTCAAATTTTCTTCAAAACTTTTGCACTTCAAGGATTTCACAATAACCAAATTCTGATGCAAATTCCAATTGAACTTTAAGAATGCTTCATATTCTCATAAGAACATCCATCTTAGTCATCTACTCGAAACCACGAAGCGAAGAAACACCAAAAATTCACTAAAACAAGACCTAAGATTCTAATTCCTCCAGTAGTCCTAACACTGAATAGATCAATACCATCAAATCATAGCAGTAAGAGGTACTCGTACAAAGAGATGGAAGAAGAACATTTACCGGCAACGCAAGCGAGAAGCGGCTATCACCGTCGACTCGTAGCTCAAATGGACCTTTCAATACAATCGGATCAAGAACCTTAGTCGAATTAACTTCCCGAACTACCTCATGCAACTCTACATCTCTTCCTCCACCGCTTCTGCTCCAATCGGTTACTTCATCGGGAAAGACGAAAACGAATCGGCTCTTCCCTAATCGGATCCGGATCTCAAATCTCCGACCAACACCAATACGAAGCTTCTTAACTTCCAATTTCTTAAATCTAACTTCCTCCAGATTCCACTTCTGCTTCATCGATATCTCTTTCAACACATCCTAAGTATCAAAACCAATTCATCAGACGATCAAACACCGGAGACGAAGCTTGATTCAATCGATTTGATTATAATTTACCTGTAGAATAGGTATTGCTGTGATGTTGGATTCGTCAGGCTGCGAAGGATCGAGAGCAACGGCTAGAGTAAGAGCTTGGATGAAGAGCGAGAGTATGACGGAGAAAGGAGAACGGAGAATCTTCATTCTTCCGATAAGGTTTACGCCGCCGTCACCGTCGTCAACGACTGTCTCGTCGCGGCACTTTTTAGAGAAATGACGATTAAGCCCATTGATGTTTTCCGATATCGATATTTTTTTAGTGATGATGATGTGGCAAAGTATCACATGGTAAGTGCGTTCTATACCAAATTTACTCTTAACCATTTAAATTTAATATTTGGTTAAATTTAACAAATATGATAAAACTTTTATAATATGTAGTATCTATTATAAAAATTCATATGTAATATTCACATTATAATTTTGTTGGACTGATTAAGCTAAGTTATTTGCAAATATCACTTGAAAAAAACCAACCATAACACTAGTGTTTGTTTTTATTTTCTTATGGAATGTATCAATGATTGATTTTATTTCACTAGTGTTGGGTTACACAGATTTACATATTACTATGACTAGAACCAAAAATATTTTAGGATTTCACAAGTAAAGTTTTCGGTTAAGTTTGGTTAGAGTTTTATGAATTAACCGAACCAAATCGAACCCGACGGAACCCAAACTTAAACCGAATTGTCCACCTCACTGTATTTCTTGTGCATCTAAAGAAATTATTTGCAATATTAATTTTATATTTTGACAACTAATTTTAGTTTTGTATCTTTTCTTTTTTCCTTTTCTTATTCAGGGAAACAAATTTACATATTAGTCAAAATATCATTAATTCATTTTTCAAAAAAGGGAAAAACTTTTATGTACTGTATTTTTTTCCATTTTCCGGATGTAACAGACAAAAAAAAAAGTCAAAATTTTCAAATGAAATAATCTTTTTTTTAACTTGGTTAGGATTTTAATTATAAAAATAACCCCCAAATTTTTTTCATTTTCTCTATTTAGTCTTCACTTATCTCCTCGTAATTAACTACATATCTAGTATATATATACATGTTAATCACCTCTCATTTTCTTACATCTAAATAATCTTTAAAGTAAAATAAAATAAAAATTATCTCTTCTTCACCAATCAAAACATCTCTCCCTTCTTTCTTAATCCATGGAGAACGATGCACAAAACCAAAACGTTGCACAAAACCAAAACGTTGCACAAAACCAAGATGTTGCACAAAACCAAAACGCTCTCTTTGATATAGTCAATAACGATGATCAAGATCGAATCAGCGAGCTCCCAAGCGATCTTTTGTTCCGTATCTTAAGAAGGCTTCCCGTAGAGGAAGCTGTAAGAACAGTTGTGTTGTCAACACGTTGGAGGGATATGTGGGATGGACTTTGAGAAGTGAGGAGGAACGTACAAGTGAAGTGTTGTGTTGTGTTCCATATCGAATCTTCACTTTTTGTGTTTTGATGTTGTTGTTGCTTTGGTCTTTTCTATTCATCTGAACTTTGTGTTCTCATGTAATATGTTATCATTTCGTCTTAATAATAAGAGATTTTATTTCAATTAACCAAAAGAAACCAAAGGATATACGTTGATCTTTTTATTCTTTGAAATACGACAGATCTCTATGCATAGAACTAGTTTTCGTTGGTGTTGTTGTGTAATAGATCTGGGTGTATAAATTGAAGATCTCTAAGTTATATTGAAAGAACTTGAGAACCCAAGAATATGTAACTAGGTGTGATCTTGTATGCAAAATCAAATTGTAGATTAGCCATGAATCCGTTTTCTATAGTTTGTGGTCATGCAAATAACCATATGTCTTGTGTTGTTGTTGTTGTTGTTTTATTTTATTTTATTGATTTGGTTTTAAAATTTCCGCGTAAACTGAAAATAAATGTTAACGGTTTTTCGCGGGAGAACTATTATATTTCAAATTTAATGATAGATACATTACAAATCGAAATCCTTTTTGCGATGAATTTCTTGTCTAATAAATAAAGGTGTTCTACATCAATTATCTACATCTTTATTTGAGTTCGATGATTCCGTAAGTTAATATGATTTATTAAAAATATCTAATTAGACTTGTCAAGTAGACAAATCCATAAAACTTTCATGTGAATTTTAATACATCGACTAATTACATGTTCATCATCAGATTTAAAGTTTTTTTTTGGATAGATTTTTGCAAATCAATCATATGTGGATCTTAATGAGATAAACTAAATGAAATCATAGTTGGTGAAAATTCGAGATTAATGTTTGATGCATTTTAGATAATGATTAATGAAACAGTAAGAATAGAATACAAGTAATTAATGACTATCTTTGACTAAATAAAAATTATAGAAAGCTTTTGGAGGTTACAACATGTTGAATTATTATTATACTTACAAGTGAAGTCAATGTAAATTTGCACTAGAAAATTTCGCAAGTTATATATAAACTGCTTAGTCAACCAATTTGATATACTAACAATACAAACTCGATATGGATTTATTTAGAAAACAATATATCAAAAAAAAAATTGTTCAGAAGAACTTAAAACGATCTTGCTTCATAGTTAATGATAAAAAAATCTCCTTATTAATAAAATGGAAGTACACAACTTCAAAATGGTACTCAATTACACTTTAATACTATTACAAATTATATTAAATTTAAAACTCATTAAAAATTATGATAACGGTTTAAAAATTAATATATTTATTATTTAATTATAAAAACGAAAAATACATTATTAATTTTTAATAAATAAATTATTACTCTCTTAAAAATGACTAAAACGTCACTTAAATTGAAACGGAGTGAGTATATGATTTCCATTCGGCTAAAATGAACTACTTAAGCTAATTTGAAGATTTTTGACGGTAAGAAAAAAAAACAAATTGGTCATCATAATGTTCAAAATTTGACCCCCACCATCATATTCTTATTGGTCAAACCTATTCTCAAAAATTTTGTATTCAAGTGAAAGGCTATTTTTGTCCTAATATTATTTATCAAAAACAAAATTGCTTGTGTTGGCATCTTTATAAATCATCTTGTCTTAAAATATCAACTTACATTGTCAAATAATGTAACTTTTTTCTTGTATTTAAAAATAAAACTTTGTTTCAATACCAATAAAGTTGTCCTTAAAAACATAAAAATCCCCTCTAAATAGGGAGAGAGTGAGAGAGAGTAGTGATAGTGAGAAAATAAAATAAAAGAAACCAAACCAAAGCATCATTTCTTGATAGCACTCTCTTCACCTGCTCCCAATGGACGAAAGACCCGAGACAGAGCTAATATCAATACCAGCCACGCCACGAGTTTCAACACCGGAGATTCTTACACCTTCCGGCCAAAGATCACCTCGTCCGGCCACCAAACCATCGTCGGCGACATGGACTCCGACATCTTTCATATCCCCAAGGTTCTTGAGCCCGATTGGTACACCTATGAAACGAGTTCTTGTCAACATGAAAGGCTATCTTGAAGACGTTGGTCACCTCACTAAGCTTAACCCACAAGACGCTTGGCTCCCAATCACTGAGTCTCGTAATGGAAACGCTCATTACGCTGCGTTTCATAATCTGAACGCTGGTGTTGGTTTCCAAGCCCTTGTTCTTCCCGTCGCGTTTGCGTTTCTTGGCTGGTGCGTTTTGCGTTTGCGTTTTCTTGATTCTTTTATTTTCTTGAAGTTTGTGTTTAGTCTTTTTTTTTTCTAGTGAACGGCGAGGGTTGGTTCAAAGTCTCTGTGGTGTTCAGATCCAATTTCAGGGTTCACTTTTACTACATGTTTTTGTTTGGACAAAAATCAAAATGTTTTTTTTTTTCTTTTTTCTTGTCGGAAATAATAATAAGATATTGACTAATTTTACTTTTGTAGCTTTAGAAACATTTCAATATTTTTTGCAGTAGATATTTTTTTTAATTTTCTTTTCATTTTGTCATGCTTCCATCATTACACATGTGGCTACTCACAGACATTCTTTTTTTGCTTTAATTTGGATTAGACAGAGACCTTCTTTATCACTGATTTTGTTTCTTCTTAGTTTCCGGCAAATTTTACATTTATTATATAGTTTTATTCTCCTTATTTATTCTCTATTTTCTGGTATAAGTAGGTACAAAAGGGAGTAACATTTACATTTATGCGACTGTTACAAGTTTAAACATTTGAAGCCTTTAATATAACTTGAGTGTTTGGTTAGTTCAATGACTTAGCTTAGTGATGGATCAAGTAATTAAGATTGTTATTAAAGATGATGCATATGATTGTGAATTATTGTTTTAACAGGAGTTGGGGAATACTATCTTTGACAATAGCATATTGTTGGCAACTATACACACTGTGGATTCTAGTCCAGTTACACGAAGCTGTCCCCGGGAAACGTTACAATCGATATGTCGAGCTTGCACAAGCTGCATTTGGTAAGAAGATAAATTGAGTTTAAGATTTTAAGGCGTTCTATAATGTCTAAGAAGGAAACTTAAAATGATTGTGTTCTTGTATTAGTAAATCTTGAATTTCTTGATTTTGGAACAGGTGAAAGGTTAGGAGTTTGGCTTGCATTGTTTCCTACGGTTTACTTATCAGCTGGAACCGCGACAGCGCTGATTCTGATCGGTGGAGAGACTATGAAACTCTTCTTCCAAATAGTCTGCGGTCCATTATGCACCTCGAATCCTTTAACAACAGTTGAATGGTATTTGGTGTTTACGTCTCTATGCATCGTTCTGTCTCAGCTTCCTAATCTCAATTCGATCGCGGGACTCTCCTTGATAGGAGCAGTGACTGCAATAACTTATTCCACAATGGTTTGGGTTCTCTCTGTGAGCCAAACAAGACCAGCTACTATCTCATACGAGCCTCTTTCTATGCCTTCGACTTCTGGTTCGCTCTTTGCGGTTTTGAATGCTCTTGGCATTATAGCATTTGCCTTTAGAGGTCACAACTTGGTTCTTGAGATTCAGGTAATAATGCAAAATGTTTCTGTTTATAGTTTATAAACATATTGGACTTGTGATTCATTCTTGAGTACTGAAAACTTTGTAGTCGACAATGCCATCTACGTTTAAGCATCCAGCTCATGTACCAATGTGGAGAGGAGCCAAAATTTCTTACTTCTTCATTGCTCTGTGTATCTTTCCTATCTCTATTGGAGGCTTTTGGGCTTATGGGAACCTTGTAAGTTCTACTTACTATATATCATTCGTTTATTATGTCTTGTCAATTAAGGATCTCTAATATGGTGTTTGGTTCAGTTTTGGTTTGTGAAATATAGAAACTGAATCATTTGGTTACAGTTTCGGTTTGTGAAATATAGAAACTGAATCATTTGGTTACAGTTTAACCTCAGATTTTTAAGCAAAATGTATCAAAATGTATCACAATGTGTCAAAATGTATCAAATAACTTATGGTGTATGTAAATGTTTCTTGGTGTTACAGATGCCTTCAGGAGGTATGCTTGCTGCTTTATATGCATTCCACATTCACGACATTCCGAGAGGCTTATTAGCGACGGCATTTCTCCTAGTAGTCTTCAGCTGTCTAAGCAGTTTTCAGATATACTCCATGCCCGCCTTTGACAGTTTTGAGGCTGGCTACACTAGCCGAACCAACAAACCTTGTTCGATATGGGTTAGATCAGGTTTCCGAGTCTTTTTCGGTTTTGTCTCGTTTTTCATCGGTGTTGCTCTCCCTTTCCTGTCTAGTCTCGCGGGTTTGCTCGGTGGACTCACGCTCCCGGTCACATTTGCTTATCCTTGCTTCATGTGGGTATTGATTAAGAAACCGGCAAAATACAGTTTCAATTGGTATTTCCATTGGGGATTAGGTTGGTTGGGAGTTGCATTCAGCTTGGCTTTCTCTATAGGTGGGATTTGGAGTATGGTTACAAATGGACTTAAGCTCAAGTTCTTCAAGCCACCTAACTAAGTAGTAATACCATATACATATGTGGTTTTGTTTGGCTTGGTAAGTTTGAAGTTTTAAGAGATTTTGTATTGTCTATGTTTTGTAACTTTGTTTAAGAATGCTTTTTTTTTTGTTTTTTATTGTTTTTTCTACTTGGAACAATGTAATGTGTATTATATTCAGAAAGCTTTTTTCCATATAAAGAATTTGGATTTTTGGATTATATGACCATGACTCAATAGGGTTCATGGATTGAGTTGAGATAAATAAAATATAAATTTAAAAGCTATTTAAAAAATTTTAAACATGAATTGAAGTGTCATTATTTTATTTTTCGAGTTTTTGATAATTGAAGTGCTTTTCTTTAATTCACAAAATAAGGAGCTATACAAATTTTTTTTTTTTGAAAAAATCTAAGGTTGGATTGCTAAGCTATAAAAATTTCACATGTGTATTTTTAGGGACAACAAAATAAGTAGGCTTGGGAAAAAAAATTTGTTGAAAAAAGCTTTCAATAACCAAGTATAACTATAAGGGAATTTTATGTAAAATGCCATTTTCAAAACTCAAAAAATTGAAAGTGCCACTTTTCTCCTTTTATTTTATGCATTGCCATATTAGGTGTAAATGATAGGAAATCAATTGACGAAATTACCCTTAGCAGCAAAAGATAAATATTATGACATGGAATGAGACTCTTTTTACTTTTTGTCTATATTCGTAGACAAGTTTTTTTGTCCATCCATATAATATATGTATTATTATAGACAAGTTCGTTTATTAAAAATAGATTTAGTTTACTATATACGTACGATGAACAACAAGTTAGAAAACAAAATATGAGCATATTACAAACATCAAATATGGTCTACCGAATCTAGTCCACAAGATCTGGTCCACCGGATCTGGTCCACCGGATCTGGTCCACCGGATCTGGTCCATCGGAATTGGTCCGTCGAAGATACAACACACAATCTCTAGGGAGCATCTGCAAAGCTGATTGATACCTTTTTGTAGGAGAAAACACTGGTGAAAAAAGATCTCATGAACTGGTTCAGTAGAAGTGGTCCACCGGATCTTTGTCTATCGGATCTGGTCCATCAATTTGATGCAGACAAGATAAAGCACACAACTTCTAGGCAACATATGCAGACTTGATTGATATCTTTTTGTTAGAGCAACCGTTAGTGGAATCTAAACTTTCTTGGTTTGTTATTGAAGAAAGAAAGAGAAAAAGGAAAGAAGAAGAAAAAATACAGAAGAGAGAGAAAGAAAGAGAAAAAGGAAAGAAGAAGAAGAAATACAGAAGAGAGAGAAAGAATGAGACACAGAGAGATGAGAAAGAGACAAAAGATCGATAGATTGTGATAGTTTTAGTAATAAAGGGCAAAATGGTTATTCTGCATATGTATTGTGGCAACCGGGAGAAGGAAAAGAAGAAAATGGCATTGCATAAAAATTTGGCTACTGTTCATGGCAAAACTAATAATTTTCTCTAACTATAAAACCTTGTTAAAAAATTAGAATTGATATAAAATGTTTATATTTTAGAATAATATCAAAGCTTATCATTAAATCATATTTTCTTTTTGTTCTGATTTACACTATTTATTGTAATAAATTTTCTGCTCCTTATCATACATTCTTGGTAATCAAAATTTCGAAATCCTAAAACTAATGGATCTCATAAAAAACAGCAAAATTTATGTTTTATCTTTTGCTTTTAGTTTGGAAAAACAAAATAAAATCAGAGGAGCATAATAATAATAGATGTAGGGATAAGCCAATAGAAGTCACAAACACACATGCTAAGAGACAATGATGTGAGAAGCCACAAATTGGGAAACGGCATCATAGTCGTGTAATTATGGAAATTGATAAACAAATGTTGGGTGGTTGGTCATTTATACATTTTGTATAGACCCAAAGACAACCTTTGGATCTAAACTAAAACATTCTTCTTGTTTTCTAGCAAATGATTCAAAATCTCATGATGACTCTAATTTTAATTTGGCAATTGAAGGTCAATGACACCCACTTCCATGTGTTAACACTTTTACATTTTTGTAATGATCTTATGATGGCATGCCATTAGATCCTTAATACTAATATGTTTTCTAATAAGTTTCTATTATGGACGTTTATAAGGAATAAGAAGTAAGTGGAATGAAAACGAAAGGAAAGCAAAGAAAAATAATGATGAGTGGGATAAAGATCAATGAAGATATGAATAGATTTTAAAGATGCATGCTAGTTAGTTAAAGTCATTGAGACGAACGAGTTGTTTTATTTGTGAATAAATATTAGGTATAAGGCTTGGGATTTTGGTTATTCGAGTCGATTTATTTTGGTTATTTTGGATATTCAGGTCATTTAATTTTTGAAGATGTTGTTGTAGATAACTGAAATATAAATCGGTGAGATGCGGTTCGATTACAAATGAATTTAACTTGTTAGATCCCTACTAATTATAACCGAAATAATTTAGATAATTTAGAATTTTATCCATCATAGAACACACAAATTCATATAAGTGGCAAAAAAATACCGAATACGCAAATTCTCATAGGTATACTAAAAACTTTGAGTAACATTGTTTTCTATAGTATTATTGTTATTAAGGGTACGAATGTATTATTTTGCGATGATTCAAACATTTGGAACAAAACGATCTTGTAAAAATCAACAAACATTCAAAGCCCTCTTGAACCACCTTTGAAGATTTCTCCTAACAATATTTTGACGCTCGAATCTTTGATGTTGAACAATGTGACACCGGATTAGACAAGTCCATAAACCTGTATAGAGTTAAGTTAATTGATTAAATTCTAAGCCAAGCTAAGAGGTCTGAAGAATAGCAAGTAGCTCTCTTTGCTCAACATATGGAATCAGTTGATTTTGATGCAAGTAGCAAATTAAGAAGTAACCAAGTGGTTTTGGAACTAGTGGCTCTTCATAGGACCTTCTAAAGGTTGAGATTTATAAGACCATTACTTCAAGTTCCATTTGTAAATGATTTAAGCAAACTCCAAAATTTTAACCTAAACTCCCAAAAAAATTGATCCGCGATACATTGTTTTCCGTCCAAAAATAAAAGTAGTTTAGTCCATTAACTGTTTAACATGTTTCGCCCGCATCCACCTATTCCAAATCTAAAAAGTAACAAGATTAAAAATTTGACCGATAACCAAATTACTACTATAGAATTTGATGTACAATCAAATGGAGCTGATCACGCTTTGACTGAACAACGTTGATTGGTTTATGTTGGCTAAAGTTTAATTAGTTGGTAACGAAACCTAAGCATCATTTTCTCTGTCCTTTGCGTCATAATAATGTTCTTACCATTTTATTGATCAGCACAGTTTGTTTGTGGCTTTGACCTCAACAGGAGACTAAGTGAAAATGACAATATAGATTAGCTATAAGTGTTCACTTAAGTTACAAAAGTTTGATAATAAAGACTAATACGTACACTTAATAGTTGGCTCATCAAACTTCTCATGTATCAATATTTTTCTAAGTTTAATTCTAGGATTCTCAAGAATTGTCTCCTATGCGCTCTAACAAGACCTAGACTCATCTCATATGCTCTAACAAGACCTAGACTCACATGATTTGATATACCAAATCTTTAACACTGCAAATGAACAATGTTTGTTACTGATAACATCTAATACAAACAAAACTAAGTTCAACGCAGTTTCTCATTTCGAAAGATGAAAAAATCAACAGAGTATCTCTTACTCACTTCTGCAACAGTACTCTTCTGTACTTTTTTCCTTTTTGGACTTTTATGCTCTCTCCATTCATCTTTGATTGATCTTTCCACTATTTTGACTATACCAAAAAACCCATAGAGAAAAGATTAAAACTTTTAAAAAACCGTTCGTCAGAGAAAACAGAGGATTTATACAACACCACCACCATTGTTGGACCTCAAGAAAACTAAAAGAAGAAAAAGTAAAAACATTTTTTGGTTTTCAAATTTGGGTTCTTTGCTCTTCTTTCTAGGAACCAAAGTAAAAAAAAAAACAAACAGAAACTTCCAAAACATAAACAAACAAAGAAGAAGACAAGACAACAACGGTTTCGTTTTCACTTAACATCGTTGCTTTGCATTGAGATCTCAAGACCAGGCCATATCATACTGTCTCCTCCACTTTTACCACCTTCAACTTCCCCTAACTGCCACGTGTCACCACCACCGTTCACCACCGGAATCTCTCCTCCGGAGGTGGAAGATGAAAGTCCAAGATAGTCAATACTCATCTCTTCAAGCCCGTACCCGTACCCGTACCCGAACTCGTAGTCCAACCCACCGGTTCCACTTCCTAAACCCAACAGAGACGCAAAGCTTACATTTACATTACTACCACCACCTTTAGTCTGAGTCGCTTCAGTCGTGGCTGGCTCTTGTGTCGTTGTGGTGATGACGGAAGATGAGGAAGAAGAGGAAGTTGCGGTTGAGGAGAAAGAACGGTGACGTTTCGAGGAGCTACGGCGAGTTCCACCGCCGACGGGGACGTCACGGAGTGTACCACCTTGAGTCCAGTAACGGCGACAAGATTTGCAGAAGTAACGAGGCTGAGCGAGGTTGTAGTTGTTGTAGTAACAGAACTTGGTGGTGGTTGAGTTGCAGCGTGGACAGGGGAGTGGCTCGGTCAGATTTGGCGGTGGGTAAGCCGCCGTTGAGGCTAGGACTCTGTTGGGTCGGGTCTGGTTTGGTTCAGACGGCATTATAAGTTATGAGAAAACGACAGAGAAGTTATGATGGAGACAAAGGAAGAGAGATAGCGAAAGAGAAGGAGATGTTGTGAGAGTGGTGTTGTGGTTTTTATATAGAGAGAGGCTTTTTTTACGTTTTGTTTCAGTTGGTGTTTTCATACTTCTGATTTTTAATTTTATTTTTTTCTTCTTCTAATTTTCAAGTTTTTAGTTAATATATTATTGCATAATTGTTGGTAGTGGACTTTAGATTATTTTTTAATCATTTTTATTTAATATTGTAAAAAAATTAATTTCGTTTAGGCTATATAACCGGCGGAAACACTAAATATATTCGGAGTCTAAAAATCGAAAAAAGGAAAGTAAAAGCTCAATTTAGAAAAGTGAGTGAGACCATACGTTAAAGGAAAACTACTTAAAAATTAAAACCGTGGGAATATAAACCACAAAAAACAAAAAAAATGTCGTAGACTAAAACAAGAGCTTAAGATCAAATGATACTACAAATTAACATTTTTTTTTAAATGTTTACGTTGAATTCTGGTTATAAATTTCATTTAAAACGATTTTAGATGTTTATAAGATAATAACAGTCAATAGTACCATGAATTAAGGAAAAAAAGATTCAAAGCTCAAACTAAATTTATTTAACAAAAAACATATTATAGTAGCAAACTCCTTGCGATTCTAATTGAGAAACAAATTGAAAAATAGAGAAATATACATCAAATATTAAAAATTGCATAAACATTAATGTGAACTTATAATTTCAGATAAATAAATTAAAAGATAATTTAAACCACAAATAAATCAAATATGAATTTTATCAAATTATAAGCATCATCATATAATTTCCATCAAAACAAAAATTCATCATCAATTCATCATAGAATAACTTTATTATATATCTATGACCATAAACTACACGGCCCAATAAAAAAGGCCCAGTTCAGAACCCATTAAGACTTTTGTTGATTCCACCAGATTTTCAGATTTCAGTCAGCTACCCAAACCTCTTCTTCTTCTTCAATTTCACAGCTTCACGTCGTCGTCGTCGTCGTCTTTGCGTCGCCGGACTTGTGTAGCTTCCGATTTGGGTGTCACAGAGAGAGACGATGACGCTATTTCACTTCTTCAACTGTGCGATTCTCACATTCGGTCCTCACGCCGTCTACTACTCCGCCACTCCTTTGTATGAAACAAATCCTCTTTTTCTCGATCTGTGATTTCAAATTGTAGTATCTCTTAGTTTAGTCATACCTAATCTAAGAATTGTATCTAGATCTTCTTCCGCGTATACTTAATCGCTTACTTCTAAACTTCATGATCTGAATCTTAAGGCTTTAGTAGCGGAACTGAGAATTTCCCAAATTGACTTTGTGTTTTGCTATGGTTTCTTCACGGAACTTGAATTATAGTTTTTGATCGGATGCAGATCTGAATATGACACACTTCGAACCTCTGTGAAGGCTGGTGTTGTTTACCTTGCTACTGCTTTGGTTAAGGTTAGTCCTGTAACAATGTTTGGGAGCATCTCCTTAGCTAAGCTTATACCTAAATTCTAAGCTCATTGGGTGTTTTGATGGCAGCTTGTGTGTTTGGCAACTTTTCTCCAAGTATCTGAGACTGAAGTATTTGACCCATACCAGGTATTTTTACTTGTAGGCTTGTAGCTAAGCTAATATCACTGTAGCATTCACACTTCTTTTTATGAGTCTTTTGTTTATTTCTCTATTGAAAAGATAGTGAAGTTGTCATCTTTAATGCTAATCTTAAGTAAAATGATAACCAGACTTATCTTTTCTTGGTCACTTGTTGCATTTCTTCTTTTCTGAAGTTTATAATGTGTTTGCTCTATTATATAGATGCACGTTGTTGAATTTTTTTCGATATTAGCTTTTACTGTTACCACTTAGCTTGTTTTGTTATGTTACAATCTAGATGACTGAGTATGGGTTCAATCTCCCTTTGTATCAGGAAGCATTGAAAGCAATGATTGGCTTCATTGATGTTGCTGGTCTATATTATGCTCTAGCCCAGCTGACACACAGGAACATCTCCCAAAACCATAAGTTTCAGGCTGTTGGTCTAGGTAAGTGGATATCTGCTGCTAGAAACTATTGTTAGCTTCGGATGTAACGTTCTATACACATGCTACAGATTGATGATTTGATGTTGGAATTGCTTTTAGCTGGTATATAGAAACTCAACTCCTTTTTCATGATTACTAGAGGAAAAATTTGCATGTAAAAGTTCCATTGTAGCTTTCAACCATTTCTAGACTTCCCTCAATGAGTGTTTGCATCACAGAATATTTATCAATGATCATCATGACTAAATTTTATTGGACCTTTCAAGTTTCAGTCCGTTCTAGACCTCCCTCAATGATTCTTTGCATTACGGAATATTTATAAACTTTTATATAAAAGATGCTTTCTTTTTGTTCAGGATGGGCATTCGCGGATTCTGTTTTGCACAGGTTGGCACCTCTTTGGGTCGGTGCTCGGGGACTGGAGTTCACTTGGGATTATGTCCTGCAAGGGCTTGAAGCCAATGCAAATCTGGTAATAAACCAATCTTCTACTTCTAGAAAGATCCATCTGTAACTGTTTCTTACTTCCGTCAAACGTTTGTGTCAAATTCAGGTGTTCACAATATCTTTAGCTGCGCTAGGTTCGTTGATGTGGCTACGCAAGAACAAGCCGAAGAGTCTGATCCCCATCATATACACATGTGCAGTGATCATCGCAACAATGCCCTCTATCACAAGCTATCTAAAGAGAGTCATGGGATGGCATTTCCCGAAAATTGTTGGGTTTGAGCTTGTGACTTCTTTGGTAATGGCATTCATCAGCTGTCAACTCTTTAGCCTCTGTCAAAGACCATCTTTGTGATTCCACTTCCCAGCAAGACCAGACACACTTCAACTGCTCTTAGGCAGAGCTTTTTGTTAACGGGAAAAACATACTTTGCCTTTGTTCTTTTTTTTTGCAGGACTCAGTTCCATGAAACTTTGACCTTTATTTGTAGAAGAACATTAAACAGCTTCTCATAAATTATTGATTTTCGGCAGTATCATTTGCTTAGTAGAATCACAACTATTAAGAGTCAAAGATGCTTATCTTGATATTATTGTGGCATAAGGTATAGAGTAAGTTACTCTGCGCTTGGGTTACCCACAAATGAGAAGAACCATGTGCTCCTTGTTTATAGCAGAAGGTAACCTTAAATGTTATAAGATTCGTCTGGTTAGTATAATACAAAACGAACAAATCTTTAGTTTCAATCCAAAGATGTCTCTCTCGGAATTCAAATGTAACGCAACAATAGACTTTTTTAATTCGCCTGGTTGACGATGTACCGCGAGTGTCGTGTGTGTATAAAGTCGAGTTCCATCTTTGTACAAAAACTCTATCCCCTCTCTAATGGCGTCAATAGGGTTATGTGAAGCATTTATAGCTTTAATTTGCTTTCTCATCTTCTATCACTTCCTCGTCAAGAAACCTTTCAGTTACTTACTCACCAAGAAAACCCTTGGAAGCTACCCTTGGAACTGGCCTGTTCTTGGTATGCTTCCCGGTATTCTCTTGAGGCTCCACCGCATCTATGACTTCAGTGTGGAGGTTCTTGAGAATTCCAACTTGACGTTTCAATTCAAGGGTCCATGGTTCGTTGCAATGGATGCATTAGCCACGGTTGATCCAGCAAATGTTCATCATATTATGAGCTCAAACTTCTCAAACTACATCAAAGGTCCTATATTCCATGAAATCTTTGAAGCTTATGGAGATGGGATCATTAACTCAGACTCGGAGCTATGGAGGAATTGGAGGAACTCAGCTCAGATTATATTCAATCATCAAAGGTACCAAAACTTCTCAACAAGTACCACGAGAAGTAAACTCAAGGACGGGCTTGTACCTCTTCTCAATCACTTTGCAGATGAAGAGATGGTTGTGGACTTGCAAGATGTGTTCCAGAGATTCATGTTCGATATAACCTTCATCTTCGTAACAGGGTCCGATCCTCGAAGTCTCTCCATTGAAATGCCAGAGGTTGAGTTTGCCAAAGCTCTTGATGATGTGGGAGATGCGATTGTGCATAGGCATATTACACCAAGGTTCGTTTGGAAGCTACAAAAATGGATTGGGATCGGAACAGAGAAGAAGTTGTTGGAAGCTCATGCCACTCTTGATCGTGTTTGTGCAAAATTTATAGCAGCCAAGAGAGAAGAGCTAAGAACACAAGGGACTACTCACAATACCAATGGAGAAAGTGAAGATCTTTTGACCTCTCACATAATGCTTGATGCAACCAAGTACGAGCTTTTGAATCCTGGTGATGATAAGTTCCTCAGAGACTTCACAGTAGGTTTCATGGCAGCTGGGAGAGATTCCACGGCCTCTGCACTCACTTGGTTCTTCTGGAATTTATCTGAAAACCCTAACGTGTTAAACAAGATTCTTCAAGAAATCAACACAAATCTACCAAGAACCGGAAGTGGCCAAGACATGTCATCGTACATGAACAAGTTGGTGTACTTACACAGCGTGTTGAGTGAATCACTGAGGCTCTACCCACCAATTCCATTCGAACGCAAGTCTCCAATCAAAGAAGATGTGCTTCCAAGTGGACACAAAGTCAAACCAAATATCAATATCATGATCTTTATCTACGCGATGGGGAGAATGAAAACAGTATGGGGAGAAGACGCAATGGAGTTCAAGCCAGAGAGATGGATTACAGAGACAGGAGGGTTGAGACATGAGCCTTCTTACAAGTTCTTGTCTTTCAATGCCGGCCCAAGAACATGTCTAGGTAAGAATTTAGCTATGAATTTGATGAAGACTGTGATCGTGGAGATATTACAAAACTATGAGATTAAGGTCGTTGGTGGACAAAAGATTGAGCCAAAACCTGGTCTCATTCTTCACATGAAGTATGGGCTTAAAGTCACAATGACTAAGAAATGTTCCAGCTAGCTTGGAGTCAAATGCTCTAGTTACTGGTCCGGACAAATTCTTCATGTATCACAAAAGTAGCAAACTAAAGTTGTGTGTAAGAAATAATGGAATTCAAAAATCAATTGATAACTATTAAAATAATTCACATATCATTTATACTTTTTTTTTTTTTTATTAAACGACCACATCATTGACTATAATTTTTGTTATAGGGGACTAAGACTTGTATGTGTGCTTTGGCATATGTACTTAAAATATTTTTCTGAAACTTATTTAACCAACAGTAACCATATGAGCTGAGCCAAAATTACACACATGCACATAATTAATAACACTCTTAGAGCACCTCCAATGGTAAACACCATTGGAGAGTGCTAATCAATTTTTTTAGTTAAATTTTTTAAAAGTGGTGTTTATATGTTGCTTATAACCACAACTTAAGCGATGGTGCTTACAACATTTTTTTATATTTTATATTCATTACATACAATGATAAGCAATATGTTAAACATACATTAAGCACCTCCAATGGAGGTGCTAACATAGACATATTCTATCACAATGGACGACCAAGTCAACTCTTGTCACCAACTTCAGTTGATCCAGTTCTGATTCTTTAACCAAACCATGCATCACTCCATCACCTAATCCTATGGTCCGGTTCAATAATGAAGCTACCACTAAAAAAGTACAGTCTCAGGTGATTAAATAAGAAGTGGTCGTTGTCTCGTTGAGAAGAAAGAACACAACACAACACAACACAAACAAGTTCATGTGGGATCCTACACATTTATAGACCTAAAACATAGACATATCTATAGCTCTTTGTAGATCGTACCTTTGTTTCCATGTTTGCACAAAGGAATCACTATAAAGCAAAAGTAACATTTCCAAGAAAACGTACCATTACCGAAACAAAATATATATATATATATACAACCCAAAAAAAATAAAAATAATGGACGGCCACAATGCGATGTTAACCACCACCAATCACTTTCATGTAACTGTAATATTGATACGTCGATTTTTTTCCGAATCTCTCGTCAGTTTTGTGTACCTTAAAAACAATAAAAAGTAAAGTGACATATTTGTCGCTTTTTCGAAATCTCTATGATATTTATACGTATAGTGAACATTTTGGCGTATTGATATTAAAGTTTTGTATTCATCTGACCAAGCTTATGGAGTTATGATTCATACTTGTTATACGTTACTACACGTAATTATTGGGTAGCTAGCTAGTTCTAGAAGAGTACGTACCAGTTTCTTATAAATTTTATAACGTACGTTTCTTTTATTGTAACTCTTCACTAGATTAATGTTAAAAAACAAATTGATCGGTCGGATTATTTCACTAGGATTAGTTCACTACAAGAAAATAGCTCAAAATTTACGAGTAATTTTGTTTATAATCCGCTAGAAACAGCTGTAACTAGCAGATATATTACAACAGATTTAACCGGTAATTTTAAATCCTTCGGTTAATTGTGTCGATAAATCTCTGAGTTATAACCTTATTTTCTTGTAGTGGTTAATTATGCATTCATTTTACATTTTTGAGGTTAATATATAATTATAAGACTTCTAATTGGTGCGTATCAATATTTTTTCTTTTAAATATTGATATTCAAACGATAACCCTAGCTCAATTATATATGTAGCATAGAGATATTAAATATTACTAATAATACAATACAATATCATATGAATCCTATACTACTCTACGAACCTCATAATTCATCATTTGACTTGGGTTTTTGTTCTTATTTACCTACAAACACAATACCAAATCTCTTAGAAAACCGAATAAAATCCCACATTTATTCACGTGGCACCCTCCAAACTTTGACCGATTTGTCAAGACTCCCACTATACACAACCAACCTCCCATCTCCTCCTCCGTCTTCTTCGTCTTCTTCACCTCCGGTTGGTTCCACCACCGCCAAACACTTAACCGGTCCGGTATGTCCGGTTAACACAGAGACACACGTGTGAACCTTTCCTTCTCGTCTCCACACGCATATCTTCTTATCCGCCGCACCACTAAACAATAATTTCCCGGCCGCGGCGAGGCAGAGAACAGCGAGTCTATGTTTCTTGAAAACACCACTATGTTTCAAGATTCTCTTCTCTCCCATCTCCCAGAAGTTCACAGCTCCGTCGCTTGAACCGCTATAAACAGCCACGTGGTTTACGACCAAAGCCGTGATCGCTGATTCTTGCTTTAGCAAAGTCTGGACCAGAGAGTGAGCCGTACGCTTCCCTCTGATCTCACGTTTCCATACCTTAACCGTACCATCTGCCGAGCCGGTGAACACAAGGCTCTCCGCGGCCGCGACTGTGTTGACCGCGTCGTCGTGAGCTTTGATTGACTCGATGCATTTCAAGTCATGTATACGCCAAACCTTGACCGTCCGATCCCATGAAGCTGAGTACAACAGCCCTTGATCTTCAACTAAGCTTAAACACGAAACGGCGTCGGAATGTTTGATCCATAACGCCGTACGACGTCGTCTCACCTCCACGTAGTTGCTAGGCTTCACTGAACTCTTCAAAACGTCTTTCAAAGCCGGTAAGCTCCCGGCGCGTGTGTACACTCTCGGGTTCTTGGATGAGGTTTTCCAAACCCGGATCTTACCATCTTGATGACCCGTGAACACTTTCTCCTCTCGGCTAATCACTATAGCTTTAACCAAACCACTGTTCGATTTAAACCCACTAAACTCGTTTAGGTTTTTCCAAACCCTAATGTGATTATTGTCCGATCCTGTGTACAAAAGATCATTAGTGGCAGCTAACGAGTAAATGTGTCCTTCTTCTCTTACAATCTCTCCGACCAAGCTGTCTCCATCGGAATATCCACGGGTTAGGTCAGATCGTGGCATTTTGGTCGTAAAGATCAAGATCGTTTGGTTAGTTTCTTTAGAAGTTTTAGAGAAAGCCAAAAACAATCCAGAGATAGTGTAAAGAGTTTGAGAGTAGTTTGCATTATAAAGAAGGTAGCTAAGCAACGAGAGTATGACACGTTTAAAGTTGTAATTTCGTTTTGTTTTTTCCACTTTTTTCATTACTAAAATAATCTTCATAAGTGAACCCTGTGAATGTTGTCCTTGTAGCTAAATATAGCTATATAGGGAATGAATGATGAGTGTATGTGAAATATATATATGATAACATTGTTTTATATTTTTTGTTCGACATAATTTTTAAAGTAAGTGGAGGGACCGCTAATAATAAGATGGCACGTATAATATATGATACGACTTTGTCTTCAGAATTTTTTCACTTTTTGTAACACTTAAAATTGTTGAGAAGTTATCATTGGTTGATTAAGTAAAAAAGAAACAATTTTGTTAAGCTAGAAGTGCTATTTGAGGATGGGCATGATAAGGCTAGGGAGTTATCGCACATAGTAAGGCATCCTCTTCTTTGGGATAGTGTGTGCTTAAATACATCTCATGTGAATCGAATAAGGAACTTTTAGACAGAATTTTTTTTGTTTACATAATCAACGATGTACAATTTAGGATGTGAATATCGGATTTGCAAATTATTAGTTATGTTAATATGATATAAATTAGAAACATTTGAGTCATGGTTCACCTTGGGACTCAGATTCGGATTTGCAAATTATTTGATATGATATAAATTAGAAACATTTGAGTCATGGTTCACCTTGGGACTCAGATTTACATACTTTACCAAAATTTATCGTTGAAACGATCGATAGTAATTTATAAATGAGTAAAATAAATCATACAAAACATGTGTAGATTATAAGGGAAATGCATGTGCAAAATACGAATTTATATGAAAATTGTGTTCTTACATCCATCCTCATGGTTTACCCCAATTCTGCATGGACACATGTCGATTGGTTTTGGCTTTGTGATTTGATAAGAAATCTAATTTTTTTTTAACATGCGATAAATACTGATCAAACATTACACTCATATATAATAATTTATAATTTCATTTAAAAATTTCTTAAAAATAGTCAAAATATTTACTATAAAGATCAAGTATTTTATTTATATATGATTATTTATAGATTCATTTAAAAATTGCTCCGAAAGGGCTAAAATATTTTCTATAAATATCAAACATTTCATTATATATAATAATTTGACAAGCTCAGACGATATTTTTTGAAAAAAAAATCAAAATAATCAAAATAACATGATGAAGTAGCTGGAAAAGTTAGTAGATACTCATGAGAGAAGAGTGTACGAAATGAGAGCAGGACTGAGGAGGCTGAGGAAGTATAGTCTGCAAATATGACATGTTTTGAAGAGTTTTTCTCAGAAAAATCTATAAGCCAACATGTTTTAGTAGTCATCTATATATACTAGTATTTTAAAATTACAGATTTGAAATAATCTTCATTTTCAAAATAATTACCATCTATGTCATGTCATTGCGTATATACATATCCAAACAACTTAACAATTAATTCTCTTTACTACCAAACAAGATTAAAAAACTTGAAATTAGTTCAAAAAATTAAAATGTTCATCTAATGTTCCACAATTAGTAATGTAGATATTTAGAAGATTTTGTCTAGATTTAAACTTATGATTCTCCTATCATCTTTGTTAAATTTACTTTTAATTGTTTTGAATCCTCATTTAAAACATAAAGTTAATACATAAATTTTCCGGCCATCTTGAAATGATATGTCAAGATATATGACTCCCTTGATTAAGTCATGTAGTTTATTTTACCAAAAAAAAAAAAAGTCATGTAGTTATGCCATACCTCTATAAATTACTCAATTTAATAATATATACCTCATAATCTATAAATTACTCAATTTAATAATATATACCTCATAATCTATAAATTACTCAAGATATATGTTCTTTGAGTCATGTCTATAAAAATCTTATCATTCACCTCATATGAACCAAGTATTATAATTCCATACATTTTATATATACTAGTCCATGTTTCATCAACTTTACACGTTTCGAGTGTTACCACCATTCATGGATCCTAGGTAAAAAAAAACAAACACTATGCATTGGAATCATGTGTCAATGTGGAGGAACCCAAACTGTAATATTGGCCCAACCACTATGTTTTCTACCCAAATATGGACATCTACAGAAGCATTTGGACCGTGCACAATGCTCCTTTTCTATACTCATTTCTCTGTTTTAAAATAAATCTTTCAACTGTTCTTTATGTTTACAAACCAACGAATTTTTTTCTGAAGCAAACTTCAATACCCTTAACCATAAATTGGCTTCTTCTTTTTTTTTTTTTTGTCTTTGGACGAAAATTTTGAGCGTGATTGGTCTTCGCATAGGACATTTTATGTCTATTGTTCATATGTAAATAATCAGAAAAATAATAAATTCAGAAAACAATGGTAACAAGAAATGTTGGTATGCCTAGCTTCGGAAAATAAACAAGACAGGAAGCAGATTTTGTAATTGTATTATCTTTATTAAGAATAATAATCCAATAGTATATTTTTGTTTATTTATCCTCTAAATATACTAATTTCAAAGTTAGAAAGAACATAACAATAAATCTTCGTTTTGATACGTAATTACAAATTTATATGAAAACACTACTAGTTAGATGGAGCTTCGATGCTCTCTCATTTTAAAGTCTACTTTTACAAAGTTGGCTATACCTTTAAGTTAAGATTCTATGTGCACTAACGTTTTGGCGAGTTTCTTTTTCTTATTTTCAATTTTTTTTCGTGTTTTTTTTTTTAGTACAACCTCATTATATAAATAAGAAGTAAGTATAAATTTGTTTCTTCTAAAATTATCTTGGATAATAAAAAGAAATTAAGAATCTTATAGAAACATGTTTTGAAGATATGTCATTCAATTTTTTTTGAAGCTTCGCTTTATGTCTTGTCTATCTATACTAGTACGTATCTTTATGTCAAGTTCAATATTGATTTTTTGTTCTGTTTCACAAAATAATTCGTTTTGGATAACATTAAGAATATATTCTAATTCCATAGACACATTTTTTTCTAGTAAAAATAATATAATAAAATAGAATAAAATCTCACAAATTATTTTGCTTACGTAGGGTCATAATTAAATATTCCGCTTTTTAATAATTAACTTAAATTGTCAAACAAAGAATTATATTAAAATAGAAATAATACTCTTTGATTCCATAAAAATTAAACAATTATATCCTAGCTTTTAAACCAGCCAATTATCATGTTGAGTCATTTGATTTGCTATATATCGAAAGATTCAATAACACTTTACTATGTATAAATAAAACTCAAAACATATGGATCCGATCACTACTACACTACACTACACCGACGAATACTTTCCCACGTAAGACCATATATGGCTTCTTCACTAGCCAAAGCCAACGACAAATCCAAGAACAAGACCAAGATTCTTGAAGACAGTAGTGAAACACCAGAGTTTGTGTCCACTCAAATACGCATCAAACGTATTCATACGACGCAAACACTTGACAAGGAAGTGATTCTACGGCGCATACGCCAACGCCGACGTGCGAACAAAGTCAGATCGGTCTTTCAACTACTGTTTGGTTCCCCGTTCGCAAGCAAAAAACACGATGGCAAAGCTGATCAAGATCCCGATGATGCTTCAATAGTGCCATGACGTTTTTGTTTGTAAGTTGTAATTACTAACTAGATGTGTTCTATAGATATATGCGATCACAAATAATTGTAAAATAGATGTACATAAGTCACAAGTGTAAAATAATGGCTTTCAATTTTATATCTGTAAATGAAGGGTTCCATATTTGTAACCAGAGTTTATATATGTTGGTATTCTTCTACTGTATATTCAATTTTATTTTCGATCAAATATCCTAACGAATTTACAAGAACATCTAAATTTATGATGACGATAAAAATTTAACATGAAACCAAAGAAATGATAAGAATATTTCATTGTTTAATAATATAATAATTATTTGATTAGTAAAAAAATTGTTTACATTTGGGAATTTATTGGTAAAATGATTAGTGAATCAAATTTTTAAATATATTGGATTTAATTTGCTCTTCATGATAAGTTTCCCTCATTAGGCCTTTTTTCTGAATACAGTAGTCTAGGGTGGACTTCTTGTACTAATGGCCTAATAAAAAAAATTTATAACACAATCGCATTATTAAATAAAGGAAACTTTTTATCACACCCCAAAAATAAAGGAATTTTTTAAATGTTATATTATAAATATATATATCATATATATGGAAATTTTCTTTTTTTTGAACATCATGATATGGAAAACTATAAGTTTTGCAGCGTAATTGTTTTAGTATAATAACCCAACTGGTTTATCATAATAGTCATAGCTTCCAATAAAATCATTACCGATTCCTTCTTTTCCAAGTCAAAACCCTAGCTACTCGTTCTCACTTCTCTCTCTCTCTCTTGTTCTATTATTCGATTCCATTGCATCAACCCTAAATCTCTGTTGTCTTGTAGAAAGATGGAGTGGAATCAAGAAACTCTCCAGCGTCTTGCGCAATGTTTTCTCGACACGCTCTCTCTTGACCAAGAGTCTCGTCAAGCCGCTGAGAAATTGTTATCAGACGGAGCCAATCAACCTAACTACAGCTTAGCCGTTCTCAGAATAGTAGCTGAGCCATCAGTTAATGAACAGATCCGTCACGTAGCTTCTGTAAACTTCAAGAACCATCTCCGTTCACGATGGCTCCCTCCTAGTGATCATTCTTGTATGATCTCACCAATGGAAGATTCAGAGAAGGAGCAAATCAAGACACTTATTGTTTCGCTTATGCTCTCTTGTTCATCTCCTTGTATCCAAAACCAGTTGAGTGAAGCCTTAATAATCATCGGTAAGCACGATTTTCCGAATTCTTGGCCTTCTTTGCTTCCTCAGCTTGTCGTCAGCCTTGGAAAAGCTGCTAGTGTTAACGATTATGTGTCCATCAATGGTATTCTTGGTATCGCTAATTCGATTTTCAAGAAGTTTAGGTATCAGTATCTAACCAATGATCTGTTTCTTGAATTGGAGGATTGTGTTGGTAAATTTGCTTCTCCTTTGCAAGTTTTGTTCCTTAAAACAGCTGAGTTGATTGATGCTGAGGGATCTAATGAGATGATCCTTAAGCCTCTGTTTGAGTCTCAAAAGCTCTGTTGCAGAATCTTTTTCTCGTTAAGCTTTCAAGACTTGCCTGAGGTTTTTGAGAAAGATATAAGCGGGTGGATGAAGAAGTTTCAAAAGTATTTATCCTCAAGTTACTACTCTGCCTTGGAAAGCACGGAAGATGGATTAAGACTAGTTGATGATCTTCGCGCTGCGGTTTGCGAGATTATTAATCTTTTTATGGAGAAATATGAAGAAGAGTTTGGTGACTTTAGGGATGGTTTTGCATCAGCCATCTGGAAATTACTACGAGATGTGTCAAAGTCTCTTAGAAGAGATAAACTTGCTACTAAAGCAATCAAGTTTTTGACCATCATTAGCAAAAGTGTTCACCATACTTTTTTTGCGAGCCACAATTTAATCAAGGAGATTTGTCACAATATTGTGATTCCTAATGTGTATTTGAGGGATGAAGATGAAGAACTTTTCGATATAAACTATATCGAGTTTATCCGTAGAGACATGGAGGGAAGTGATGTAGACACTAGAAGGAGAATAGCTTGTGAGCTACTCAAAGAACTTGCTGTAAACTACAAAATCCAAGTGACACAAGTAGTTACTATGGAGATACAGAGTCTTTTGAGTTCATTTTCGACAAATCCGGTTTTACGATGGAAAGATAAGGATTGTGCAATTTTCTTGGTCGTCTCTCTAGCTACTAAGAAGACAGGTGGTGGTGCATCTATGTCTACAGATCTCATTGATGTTCAACTTTTCTTTGAACACATTATATCCCCGGAGTTGCAAAGTCGCGATGTCAACAGTTCTCCTATGCTTAAGGCAGGGTCCTTGAAGTTCTTAACAATGTTTCGTAGTCATATACCAAAGTTCGATGGTATTAATAAGTTGTTCCCCGAGTTGGTCCGGTTCCTTACAGCAGAGTCTAACGTTGTCCACTCGTATGCTGCTATATGCATAGAGAAGTTCTTGCTAGTGAAGGAAGAAGGCGGAGTAGTTAGGTATGGTGCTGGCGATATAAGTCCTTTCTTGTCGCAGTTGATGAAGAACCTATTTGAAGCACTCAAGTTTCAAGACTCTGAGGAGAATCAATATCTAATGAAGTGTATAATGCGGGTTCTTGGTGTTGCGGATATTAGTCTTGAAGTTGCTAGTGACTGCATCGGGAGCTTGAAATCTATTCTCAGTGAAGTTTGCAAGAATCCTAAAAATCCTGTTTTTAACCACTATCTCTTTGAGTCTGTGGCTGTACTTGTTCGACGAGCATGTGAACGCAATGTTTCTCTTGTACCTGAATTTGAAAGGGCTCTTCTCCCTAGCCTACAAATGATTTTGGACAATGATGTATCAGAGTTCTTGCCTTATGCGTTTCAGTTACTTACTCAGCTTGTTGAGTTAAGTAGACCACTGCAGCTCTCAGAGAACTACATGCGAATCTTCTCGGTGCTTCTTGAGCCTAACTCATGGGAGAGAAAGGGAAACGTACCAGCTCTTGTGCCTTTACTTAAAGCTTTCTTGCAGAGAGTATCTCATGAGGTCTGGATGAGTCAAGTGCTGGATATATTCAAGAATCTTGTTTCATCTCCTAGCACAGATGAGCAAGGCTTTTATGTTCTTAACACAGTAGTTGAAAATATCGGCTACAGTGTGATTGAACCTCACATGAAGACTATATGGGATGTTTTGTTCAGACGCCTTGAACGCAAATATACAGTCAAGTTTCAAAAGTCGCTTGTGATATCCATGTCACTGTTCTTGGTAAAGCATGGACCATGTTTGCTATTGAAGTCTATGAACACTGCTAGGGAGAATGTTTTTACTGCTGTCTTGGAGCAAATCTGGATTCCGAATGTGAAACTGATCACGGGAACTATCGAGGTTAAGTTAACCGCGGTTGCTGCAACTAGACTTATATGTGAGTCTCCAGCTCTTCTTGATCCATCAGCTAGTAAGCTATGGGGAAAGATGTTGGATAGTATCATCACACTTGTTTCACGGCCTGAGCTAGAAATAGTAATCATCGATGATCCTGAAATGACAGATGAGGTCTTTGAGAATGTTGAATACAAAGCTGTGTTTGTGAATCTTTACAATGCTGGGAGAAAAGAAGAGGATCCTCTCAAAGAGACTAAAGATCCAAAGGAGTTCTTGTTAGCTTCTTTGTTTAAGCTTTCTTCTGCTTCTCCTGGTAGATATGGACAGATCATTGGTGAGAATGTCGAACAAGCTAATCAAGAAGCTTTGCTTCAGCTTTGCAATGCTTACAACTGTGGTATTGCTTGAAGTAATTAATTAATCTTTGTATTGCTTTTTTCATCAAATTATGTAAAGTTTGGTTTCATGAGTTAGTTCTTGATATGATTGTGATCAGTTTTGCAGGGAGATGAGTGTGAGGAGCCAAAAAAGAAGGAAAACGCATCAACATTATATTGCATTGGGTTCTAGAGGAGAGGCGTATATAAAACACGCTCTTGCTCCTGGCCCGGAGAGTTAGGGGCTTGGCCAGAACCTTCACGTTGCATTGCATCACATCGCATTGCATTGCATTGCATCTAAGAAAAGTGATAAAAGAAAAAATATAGAAGAGAAGAGCATCATGGTAGCAATGTTTACAACTATGGGATTGGTTGAAGTAAGTGTTCTGTTACTTCCAAGTATGTTTTCAGGATTAAGTACATGTTGGATTCATGATTCAGTCTTGATGTTATTGTAAGAATATATATTTTGCAGGGGACATGGCATTGCATTGGAATAAGAAAAGGATAGTTTCATAGCATTTGGGGAACTAGATTAGCTAAAGAAGAGCATCATCATCAATTCATCATTCATGTTCTTTTATCGAGCTTTGGCATTTTATTGTAGTAGGTCGTCTTTTTTTTTGTTTCCTTTAAAGCAAAGCATAAGGCCTCTCTACATGGTACTACTATGTGTGTTTATGTGCATTTTGGGCTATGTTTAATAGCCATGGTTACTCTATTATAGGATCATTTTGATAAGATTTATGCATAAAAAAAAAACCCATATATTTTATAGCAATAGATATTAGATACAACATAGTTTGATTTATACTCTTTTTGAGTTTTACTTTGGAAAGTGCATTTTTTCTATTTCAAATAAAAATAACATATATATATATGATACCATTTTTTCCTGATTTAAACTAGTATTAATTAAAAATAAGAAACTAATTATAAATAAGAAAGCAATTACACATGTTTAGAAAAAAAAAAAAAAAGAATTGTACTCTGCATCCTCCGATTGTATAATGCAACATCCTCTGTGTACAATACTACAACCTTCGATTTGCTTGAATACAAATTGATACGTGACGTTGGGAGATTTATTTTTCAGTTTTCATTTTTTAAGCATTTACCACTTCTTTTATATACATTATTATTTACCGTTTAATATATACTAAATAAATCCGTGCTATAACACAAGATGATATTTTTTAATATAACAGTAATTATAAAATAAATAAGTAACTTAAATATGTATTCTTTTATATAGAAAAATAAAATGGTAAAGAAAAAAAATCTACATTTTTGTACTATTTAAATAAAAAATCACATGTTCAAATAAAACATAATTTGTTAGAATTACCTTTTTTTTTTTTTTTTTACATTTAGAAATGACCTTTTCTAAATGTCTGTTTTCAAAATTGTCTTCTTCCAAAACTTTTCAAAAACGCCACTTAAGTATGAAATCTACACAAATAATTTTATAAAATGTTTAAAATACATTGTATTTTTTTATTATAAAAAATACAATTACTTTTATATGTTGTAAAACCATATAAAACATTATAAATATTTGGCTCGACTTCCCAACGGTGAAATTTAAATATAATCGGGAAGTTTAGGAATAAATTGTCTTAAGATTAACCAATTAATTCTCAGACTAAAAAAATGACATTATAAATGAGCAGTTGAATGAGGCATTTTCGAAAATAGAAACAACAAAAACCACAATTTTGGAAATGCCCCCTAAAAATTAAAATTAGATAAAATGATTTTTGATTCCTCGTTGACTATTTGGTAACAAACAAAAAGTTTTGTTGCCATCCATACTCATAAAATAAATCATGCTTTGAAGTCTAAGCATGCATAACGTGATAACATGTGCCAACCGTATCTTCAAATCTTTTACATTTGAATATAAGTAAAGCTCTAACCATATCGTCAACGATTTTGGAACATGTAAATATGTAATTATATTATGGTACAATATAAATATGCTGGCAATACAACTCTTAATAACACATTGTTTAAAACGTTTAGTACAATTAAAAAGAAAAATAGACTTGTTAAAGGAACATCAAAAATGTAAAGAAACATGAAAACGTAAATATGAGATCTATTTTTTTCGATTTTTGAGCTGGTACGTAAACCCAAACTATTATATTTTGAAAAGATTACACTTCAAAATCTCGAGTTTGTTACAGATACTTACAAATAGTTGGATTCTATTGATTGATCAGATTTTATAATAAGATGAATTATACATCTAACCAACTATTTCTTATAATATTTTTTAAAAAATTCTTATAATTATAAGCGTTTTCAGCGTGATCAGTTTAATGATTGACAGTTTAATTGTGATTAGATCTATCCAAAAATGATTTGTTATTAATTTAAAATAATGAAAATAATAAGTATTATCAATAACTCAAAAATGATTTGTATTGACAAGTCAATGAATTTTATTTGAGCCGATAGAAAACTTTCAACGGAATTTTCGTTTTAAATTTATCTTTATAACGGTGTTTAGTCTTGTAACGGCGTTTTCAAGTTTTAAATGGAAATTTAGAGTTAAAAAAATTTATCTTTATAAAAATAATGGAAAAAGAATTTCAAATATACTTTGGTGTAGTATTTGGTATAGAAGAATATTTTCAATTTTCAAAAAATGTTATAAACAATTCTCTAAGAACTTGTTCATAAAAACTCGGCGTTGTCTATAATTCTTAATAATAAAAATAGGTAATATATGTGATTAAAAGGGTATGCCAATAAATGTAGTAGAATAAATAAATAAAAATATCCAAAAATATCACAAAATTATTATTAATTCTTACTTATGGTATTTTGTTTTGGAAAAGGATGTTTTAGTAATATTTTTGAGACACAAAGCAAGTGATGATATTCTCGGAATTGTTTTTTTATTTTAACGATATTTTAGAGAACTACCCTTAAAAAAAATTGAGAATAATTATATACTTACACATAAGCACCAATAATTAATTTTTAATATATATATAGAGGATTGCATATGTTAAACGCACTACAAACTATATAATATATATTACAAAACCTTATTGTTTTTTTATACTTGCATGTGAATATAACACTGTACTTCACGTTAAGTCTTTTGTAGTGTATATCCATATAGACTCTTTCCACTACTATATAAACTCAATAGCATCTACTTGAATCTCTCATCCATACAAAGCTCTTCTTTCTCATCAAGAACACTCAAAATGGCTTCTTACAATCTCTTTCTCATCGTTTTGGTAATGACTCTTTCTTCTTCTATTATGATCAAGCCTTGCTTGGCTATACGTCGTCTCCAACAATTCCCATTCGGTTTTAACGTACCGCCATTGCCAACCGGGTTCAATGTTCCTCCATTGCCAACCGGGTTCAATGTACCACCATTGCCTACCGGGTTTAACGTACCACCATTGCCAACCGGGTTTAACGTACCACCATTGCCAACCGGGTTCAATGTACCACCATTGCCTACCGGGTTCAATGTTCCTCGATTGCCAACCTGGTTTAACATACCTCCATTGCCTACCGGTTTCAATGTACCACCATTGCCATTCGGGTTTAATGTACCACCATCGCCAAAATAATTCCCATAGCCAACTCTTTACAATTCTCTCACTCACTTTCTAAAGCAAACTTCCCCTTGGTTAATAATAACAATCCCTTATATGCCTACCAATGATCTCTCATACAACTTCCACAACTAGTTGGAGTACTCCTTGAATAATCAATCACTTCATGTATTTTATGTATCTCTTATGTTTGTTGTTGTAATAATTTGTTACATTGTGATGTGTTTTGGTTTGGTCCTCGTGATCTATGTGTTGTATTTTATATTTGTGATTGTACAATTGTTAAATTGTTGGTCTGGTGGTTCCTGCTTGTTTCATTAATAAAATATATATTCTTTTTCTTACCAAGTGTTTTCATTGTTTTGCCAATAATATGTTATATGTATTCCCTTGACATTGTTCTCCTTTTCAGAATCATATTTTTGTTTTTTCTTCTATTCTATTAGGTAATGTCCCGCGCATGCGCGTTGTTATATATTAAGTTAATTAGTTTAAATTTATTTAATAATTATTAAAAATAGAATAAATAAATTTTAATATTAGTGATATTTTTACACTTTATTATTTAAATCATACAACATAGGCATACATCCATATCTCTTGAATATATTTGTTGATTTATTGTTCAGTTTTTATGGTAATTTTCTCTAGTATTTTTGAGCATTTTTAGGTAAAACAACAGTATTGCTAATGATAAAAATAGAAATTTACTCTGACATAAAAATGTTTTATTTATGTTTTTTCATATAAACTCACACAAAATCTAAATTATTTAGTAATTAAATCTAAACTATGTTGAAAGTAACAAATTATATATATTTCCTATAAAATCATATGAAGTGCAATTAAAAGTCTTTTTAAAAAATGACAAAGAATAATTTTATTTTTTAATCTCTTTTTATATTCCTCTTAATTTAAGATATATCTTTAAGTTTAAATATATATTTTTAATCCTTGTAGTATAATAGATCAAAAACTGAATATCATTTTTTTTAGATAGAAAATTAAGTATAAAATTCAATGTAAAAATTATAATGTTATTTATATTATTCAGTTTTGAATCACAAAATAAATATAATGATCATTATATTTAAAAGAATGTCTTACAAATTGGTTTGATAATTATATAACAAAAATTTATTTTGTTAAAATAATTACATACTTTTCAAAATAAAATAAATATACATGAATATGTGAGAAACAAAAAAACATCCAAAGTAAAAGAATGAAGATGGTTTCTTTGACTTGATATTCTTATTTTGCGATGGTCGGGAATCAATATTTTTGAATCCCAATGATAAAATAATTTTCTCATAGCCATAAAATAATATTACACTTCATGTATTGGATGTATCTCTTATGTTATTGTTGTAATAATTTGTTTTATTTCTGAGTTTTACTTTAAATTGTAAACTTTTTCTATTTCAAATAAAAATAACATTTTATCTAGAATAACAAATTTTTCCTGATTCAAACTAAATTTAATTATAAATACGAAAGCAATTATCTTGTTTGAAAAATAACATAATTTTTTTTTGTACT